GTCAAAAGTTTTAAAAAGTTTATTCAATGCTTAACCCTTAAAGCTATGGTTAAGGACTGATTATTCCAACCTGATAAAAAATTATCACTTTTTTCCACAATAGAAATGTTTCAAAAAGTATACAAGCATAGTTTACACGTTTATCGAGTCTTCAAAGCACAGCGTAATGATGTAGGATTTGGAACTCCAATAATCTTTCATTTTCTTGCAGTTCTTCAGTTCTGCGTAAAGGTAGGGTAAAATTATACTAATTATAGAGCTGCTACCACTACTTTTTTCTAATGATTGTGTCAACATCAATACTGATATTGATATTTTTGTAAGATTGTTACCAGCGATACTGATACTGATATTAAATTTAATGCTAATAGTATTGATGCTGTACTCACATCAACATGAACTTTTGCGATTGGCAACAGTTGTAACTTATAGGCATATTCAGTGTCGCCTCTAACATTAACAATGGCTCACGATTTCCTAGACGTGCATGAAAGTACTGATAGCTTTAAATAAATACTTTCACTACTATCTCTTTGAGAAATATTAACGAAACTAATAAAATATAGCCTGTCCTCTAAAGTTGACCCGGCCGATGTATTGTCCGCAGTAGCGCTACGCGACGCAGTAGTGTTGCTTTTCGCAGGCTTTCACGTTAGTCGTGCCAAGAAGCTTTGGGCCAGATGCAAATTAGTGGTGCCAAGTTAGGGGCTGCTATGGACGATATAGCAGCCGGGCTTACACACAGAACAGGCAATTGGTCTTAGTGTGAATATTCGGTCTGAATTGCCTCTCAAATTAGATATTCAGGTGTTTATCCAAATAACTTGTGTTTTGAATCAGTAGTAATGAGCTTGGGCAATTTCAACATGGAGCAAAAGAATCTTGAAGCTAACCCCACAGAAGAATCTGAGAGGACTGCAATAAAACCCAGACGGGCGAAGAAGAAATCTACTATGCTAAAAACGGTTTGTCATCGTTTTTGCCGAGCCTTCTAGAACCAGCGTGTAAATTTTTACGCTATAAAGGTGGAGTTGAGCAATTTCGTGGTAAATAACGAAATTCGTGCAGCTGCCGGAATGAGGAAAGTCAATATCAAGCAACCAATGCTTTTCTCTCAACCAATAGTTCAAAACACCAGCGAAGAAAACACACACAAAGGTGTCCGAAGAGAAAAGAAGCCCACAACTCTGAAGAAGGTTAGTTCAGGTGTTTTTTCTTTGCAGTGGTAGCGATAAGTTCGAATTGGGTGTTCTAGAAAATCCTGGAAGCGCGAGAACATGACGGAAAGCCACCCTGTTCAACTAACGGCGATATCTCATTTAGCCCAACGCCACTTGATGAGTGTGTGGTTGAACTGCTAAAAAAACTAAAAAAGCAAGCGAATGCTGCTCATAAAGCGAATCCGGTCAAGGTTTGTCTGGGCACTAAACTACTTTTTTATTAGGTGTGCATAAAAGAAGAACAGCATAAGTTTTGTCCAAACATGCTTGCCTATCATGATTTCTAGGAAAAAATGCTCTTAGCCCGCATGCATATGGATATGCAATACCAGTTCAAACAGATCTAACTAACGCTTTTCAACTCGATTGCTAAAAATGCTCTCAGTTTGCTTCTTTTTGATATTTTTTTTGGATATGATTTGCAAGCAATTACCTGATCAGGTTGAAAGCTGCGTTTTCGCTTGGCTCACGTTTTCTTATCATTTCATCTGTTCTTATTCTTCTATTTACGCTCTAAGACTTGATACACTTTTGACAG